AGAGAAAGATCGTGAGCTTGGCTAGCATTCTGTACCGTGACGATGCGTGCACCGCTCTTGAGAGCATGAAAGGATAAATATCGACCAACATGGCGTAGGAGCGCCTTGCTACTACTATGATCAGAAAGATAGTCAGGAGAAGTCGGTCACAAAGTAAAAAACTTAATGCATTGTGTATTTTGAAACATAGCGTGTAAGGGGAGGAAGTGTCGTGCTGGTCTTTTCTGGGCATAATGAGAAGGAAGAGAAGGACTGGCACACTGAGCTAGAAATCTATACAGATATTGACGAATGTATTAATAATTTTCTAAAAAAGACCCAATACCTTTATAACAAGCACTACCCTAAAAAAACTAAACAGATGACAGCTAAGAGACCGAACAGTCCCTGGCTAACACCCAGCATCCTCAAATCCATAAATACGAAGCACCTATACGAAAAACAGTACAGAATGGGTCACATAACCAGAGACCAAACAAAACGTTACTCGTCAGTCCTAACCAGCCTGATAAGAAGGGCTAAAAATTGTATTATGAGAACAGATTATCCAACTTACGAGGTGATATAAAAAAGACCTGGAAATCCCTATCAGAAATTCTAGGAACAAAAAAGATATCGCGAAATTGAATTAACAAAACCAGATAAACCCCAACTCCCACCAACTGAAACAGCAAACAGACTCAATGATTTCTTCTCCACTATAGGAAAAAACCTTGCCAATAAAATCCCAAGCTCAGATACCCCACCCAATGACTACCTCACTGGCAACTACCCGAACACACTGTTCCTAGCTCCAACTAACCCAACTGAAGTCTCCCTCATTATTAACACAATAAAAAACAAGACAGGAAATTTAAATACCTTACCACCCTTTATATACAAAAAAGCGTCACAAGTGCTATCACCAATCATTGCAACACTCTTCAGCAAATCCACTGAATCCTCTACCTTCCCTACAGTTCTCAAAATAGCAAGGGTAACCCCGATCCCTAAAGGAGGAGACCAAACAGACTTGAATAACTATAGGCCAATATCCAACTTACATCCTCTCTCCAAAATCTTCGAAAAATTAATTCATAAGCGAATCTATTCCTACCTCATCTCCCACAACATACTCAACCCCTGTCAATTTGGGTTCAGGCCTAATAAAAATACTAATGATGCTATTATACACATGCTAGAACATATATACACTGCAATAGAGAACAAAGAAGTCCCACTGGGGATCTTCATTGACTTACGTAAAGCTTTTCATACAGTTGGCCATGACTTGCTCCACATAAAATTGTCGCACTATGGTATAAGAGGGCACTACTTCAACTACCTAAAGTCATACCTCAGCAACAGAAGCCAATATGTGTACACAAATGGGGCAAACTCTTCCGCACAGCCAATTACAGTTGGTGTCCCACAGGGAAGTGTCCTAGGCCCTCTTCTCTTTCTCATATACATAAATGACCTACCAAATGCATCGGAACTACTCAAACCCACACTATTTGCATATGACACTATATACATCTTCTCTCACCCGAGCCCAGTCAGGCTAGCCAATACTGTAAATACCGAATTACAGAAAATATCTACCTGGATGAGGACTAACAAACTCACTCTAAACATTGACAAAACCTACTTCATTCAGTTTAGTAACAGAGCTATGGATGTCCCTCTTAACATAATGATAAACGGATCACCTATCACAAAACTCACAGAGGGAAAATTCTTAGGAATCCGCCTTGATAATAGACTCAAATTTCAAACACATATACAACAGATTTTCAAGACCGTAGGCATACAACCGAAGATACGGTACTATGTTCCACAGCCAGCCCTCCTGGCCCTATATCACTCACTTATTTACCCCTATCTCACCTATGGAATTTGTGCATGGGGCTCAACAACAATAAAACATCTCAGACCACTAATTACCCAACAAAAGGCTGCAGTCAGAATGATAAATTCCCACTACAGGCAGCACACTCCACCAACATTCAAAACTCTAAACATACTCACCATACAAAACGTCCATACTTATTATTGTACCTACTACATACATAGAACACTTAACTAGAATATAAACCCTCCCCTCAAACGTCTCCTTACCAACCATAAGGGGGATTACCAACAGACCCCTGGCAGTCTTCAAGCTGGCACTGGACAAGCACCTAAAGTCGGTTCCTGACCAGCCGGGCTGTGGCTCGTACGTTGGTTTGCGTGCTGCCAGCAGTAACAGCCTGGTTGATCAGGCTCTGATCCACCAGGAGGCCTGGTCACAGACCGGGCCGCGGGGGCGTTGACCCCAGGAACTCTCTCCAGGTAAACTCCAGGTACTCACCATACAAAACATCCATACTTGTTACTGCACCTACTACATACATAGAACACTTAACTCTGATATAAACCCTCCCCTCAAACGTCTCCTTACCAACCTCAACAGAACACATGACCATAGCACAAGGCACAGATTACTCTTTGATGTTCCTCGAGTCCATCTCACGCTATGCAAAAACTCAATGCACATAAAAGGCCCTAAAATCTGGAATTCATTACCTGTGAATATAAAAGAAACACTGTTTATAAATTCAAGTCTCTTCTCAAAAATCACTTACCCACAACTAAATAAATACTGAATAATTGTATCTCATAAATTGTATCTCATAAATGTTCCTCATTATTGTATCTCATAAATGTCTAACCTGTGACCCAATCAAACTTCGTTATTTTTTAATTACATTACCTAACAGAATACTCCATTCTACTGAATGCACAGCAACACAGTAAATGACCATATGACCTGTCTTTGTAATACTCATTTGTGCTAAATTGTTATCTGTTTTCAATAATGTTTTTACCACTGAATATATCATTGCTTAGTTAATCTTAAGTTAATTTTAAGCCTGCCCATAATGCTCTGCATACAAGGGGCTTTGGCATGTTGCACTTTAATAACTGTATTCCTTTGTACTTCTCCGTATCATGTTCAAATAAATAAATAAATAAATCAGGTAATGGTTTTCGGCGTTTAGGTGTGGGACCGGAGTTGGTCCTATGTGGGACGAGCGGGCAATCCGAAAAGCGCATCACCGTAGAATGAGAAGCCGGAAGCATGGTCAAAGAAGTGCTGTCAGATGTATCAAATAAGTCAAGCAGAACCCCAGTACCTGTAACGGGTGACAAAATGGCACCAACAGGAGGTACAGGGGCATGAGAAATGTCCGAAGAGTGGTCAAATAACGAGGTAGGGTCGGAACAAGGTGCACTAGCAGAAAGGGGCCCGGGGGCAGCCTCCCTCTTGAAGACATCCAGTGGTCTATTGGTAATTCCCCTTATGTATGATGAGAGGCAGTTAAACAATCTTGGGCCCCCAGACGCTTATTGTGTTGTCTCTTAGTGTACTCAATGAGATGTTGCACTGCCTGAAGAGTCTTTTGCGTTTGTATGAATTGATTTCTGTGCGCAGATTTTGGACTAGTCCCTCTAGGATTTTCCAAGTGTTTACTATCATGTATCTGTCTTGCCTGTGTTCCAAGAAGTACAGGTCAAGGGAATTCATCCATTCCCAGTAATTGAGGTGCTTTATTGTACTTATGCAGTGAAAGTTCTCTGAATATTGTCCACCTGTATGACCCTGGTGGGTTTAGTGCTTAGTTTTGATTATAATAATAATGCACATTCTTCAGGTCTGCAATTTCGCCTACCTTGAAAGGGGCCATTAGTGTACAGAAGGTTACCAGCCTAGAGAGAACACGCGATTTGAAAAGAATCATCATTGACCTGGCATCTCTAGTTTTGAAGGTTCTCATTATCCATCCCGTCATTTTCCTAGCAGATGTGGTAGATACACTGTTGTAATCTTTGAAAGTGAGATTGTCTGACATTATCACTCCCAGGTCCTTCACATTAGTTCTTTTTTTTTTTTTTGCTCTATTGCGTGGTTGGAATTTGTTTTATACTATGATCCCGTTTTTATTCCTTGAGTTTTCCATAATATCGGAGTAATTGAAAGTTGTCTTCATTAATAACCTTTATATTGTTTTCTGAGGCCCATTTAAAGACATGGTTAATGTCTCTTGGAGATTTGAAGTGTCTTCAATGGATGACACTGTCATGCAAATTCTGGAGTCATCAATAAAGGACACGGTGCTGTGGTTTATTTATTTATTTATTTATTTATTTATTATTATTTAGACATGATACATAGAGGATGAGGAACAGGAAATCCCAGTTAACTTACCACTAAATATTAATACACAGTTAAAAATTGTACTGTTGTAATATTGTAAATTATACTAATTGTAATAATTTTTCTATCCCTTTATTATAAATCTTATTAATTATATTTTTTTTGCTACCTCTCTTTTTGTAATAATTCAAACAATACATAATTCAAATGTAAGTTCTATGTCTAGTTTTAAGTAGTCTGTAATCATTAGGATTAGTCTGGCTGAAATACTCAGACATATTAGTGGCTTTTTTGTGCCTGACAATATCTTATACCATGTAAATCTCACATTGTATACATGGAGGGTGCTCCGGGGGTCAACGCCCCCGCGGCCCGGTCTGAGACCAGGCTTCATGGTGGATCAGGAGGGTCTGATCATACCATGCAGAGGAGTAAATATTTGGAATTGTAATTTTGTATTCTCTTCAGGGTCACCTGCCTCAGTGGGAAGCAGCCGGTGTATTTAAAAAAAAAATGTATTAACGTATATTTTCTCAACTAAAGATAAAGAAACAGGGTTATTACATTTTCAGTTGTAGAGAGTATTGTATATATAGTTTCAGTTGTAGAGAGTATTGTATATATAGTTTGAGAAGTTAAGAATATAGCGCCTGAGTTGACTGCTCGCGCAACATTTAAGCAGCAGTGAGACATTGATTATATTGGTGTGTGTTGGTTATACCTGTCTTCTTCCAGCATACTCCTGTTTAGTGAGGATATATTGATGTTATATCTTCATTTCGGGGAGGGAAGGGGGTGGCTATATGCTAGTCAGGGGCTGTTTGATCCTAGGAAGTGGAGGTGACCTGTTTTCCCCGTGGAACAGGAATGGTTAAGTCTCTTCTTCCCCCCTGGTGTTGCATGACCCCGTGCGGGTTTAGAGCTGCTACCTGACTATGATAATGTTAACGAAGGTTTGGTGGGTTCTTGTGACCTTGAATTACAACCAGGGTGACGGTTTTTAAAATGACTTTCAGCGGTCAATGTATTTTGTGAAACTCACATATTCCATTCCGTTTATTTCTGTCGCCCATACACATGTATAAGTTCATCTTGAGTTTATTAGGTAATGCTAGGCCAGATACCCCCTCAAGGAAGGTTCCTTGGTGCTGGTGAGGGGCTCTTGATCTAGGGAATTTGATCTGTGCTCCAGTTCCCCGAATTAAGCCTGAATACCTTCCTCATCCCCCTCCCCCACAGGCGCTGTATAATCCTATGGGTTTAGCGCTTTCCCCGATTATAATAATAATAGGCCAGATACACACAATATACCATAAACATATGTGCCAGTAACATTAGTTACAGTTTATATATGAAATTTGTATATTGGCGATGATAATTGTAATTTACTGATAATTAGGAACACCAATGGAAATCACCGTGTCTAATACACAAATAATAATATAACATTGACTTTACTGGGTTATCCTAAAGTAAATTTATCCTTTAAGGAAGGTGTCTTGACACAAGTGAAGGGCTCCTGATCCAGGGAGTTGAAGCTTAATTTCCAGACAATATGATCCCTTAGGGTTTAGTGCTTCTGGATACAGTTACCAACAACTACTCTGTGGAACTCGGAGATTAGTTTACATTTTTTTCAGTACATAGAACCTGTGTACATTATGGAATAAGTAAATACAGCATTTTTGTGCAAATTTTAATTTGAGCAGTAAACCTAGGTTAGGGTCAGTTAGGTTAAGTTATGTTGTATTTAGTTTAGGTTAGATTACATTGTTACATTAGGTTATCTAACCTAATGTGAAAACAGCATTGTTAGATATGTCTCTTTCTTTATATTCACACCTTGGTGTGCTGTGACACTAAAGTGAATGTACAGTATCTGTTTTCCTTATATATTCCAAAATAACGATTTACGTAAGAAGTGATTACCTATTCTGTACTGTATGTAGGCTGTGGCCTGGCTGGCAAAGCTCTCGCTTCACACACGGAGGGCTCGGGTTTGATTCCCGGTGTGGTAGAAACATTTCAACGCGTTTCCTTACACCTGTTGTCCTGTTCACCTAGCAGCGAATAGGTACCTGGGTGTTAGTCGACTGGTATGGGTCGCATCTTGAGGGACAAGATTGAGGACCTCCAATGGAAATATGACAGTCCTTGATGATGCACTGACTTTCTTGGGTTATCCTGGATGGCTAACTCTCTGGGGTTAAATATCCAAAGGAAATCTTATCTCTCTCTCCTTATCTTATTGTAAAATATATAACAATGACAGAGTTTCAGTGATAATTATCAGTAATTTTTACTGCACTTCCAAATAATTAAAATAAAATAATGTGCCCATAACGTGTGGCTTCAACGTGTGTAAAAAAAATTTTTATAATAATAATAATATTTATTTCTGCAAATACATGGTGCAACTTATATAGACCTAGCTGACATCAGTGACATACTCTATAGAAGGCCCCTGGTTATACAGAGCATTTCAGGCAACTTAGGTTCATCTTATCCCCTAGGATGTGACCCACACCAGTTGACTAACACTGTGTGTAAGTTATATGATAACATAACATAGGATACTTAAGGGAAGTGCCTTGATGACAATGAAGGGCTCTTGATCCAGGAAATTGAAGTTATCCTTTACTTCCTTGGATCAGACTTGATTGCCTCCCATTCCTCATTCCCCTCTATGGGTTTAGTGCTTCCCCATAAGTATAATGATAATCATCTAGAGATGAAAATGAAGTTGTCATGATTGTGCAATGATGTGTAATGTTCATAAAATTAAATGAAAATCTACCATGGTCACCCATCCTGCATTGGAAACTGGTTATCAGGTTTGAACAGAATCAAAATTTATATATGTAGCATGTACATATATTAAATTGGTAATGAGTTATGTTTAAAAGAATTTTTTTGATGCATATTGACCATTTGAGGAAAACAGTGGTCTCAGTATATAATTGGTCAAAGCAGACTTATATAGTATACATTTTTTTAAATTGATTAAAATTTTTGTGGGTCCTGCAGATTTGTGATGGAGCAGGACCATTCGTGGCCACGAAGCCGCCAAAGATGGAACAGTGATGGTCTGGGTTTGGGTCTGAGGGAAGGGAATACTCAGTCTCCTAGAAGGATGCACCATTCAGGGTCACCTTCACACAAGTTCAGACCTAATAGACCAGTTTGGGATGTAAGTTTGATATAATTTATGAATACTAATGCTTCCATGGGTGACTAAGGTGAGCCTTATTTGTTAATTGCCACTCTGGCCCCAAGGCAAGCCTTCCTGTTGAAGGCTTAGTATATGCAGTATCTGTTATACTGGTATTTATCTGTTAGTTGTTCCAGGGAATCTCACTTTTACAGCATGGTTCAAGACCATGCCTCCCAGTTGATGGTCTAGTACAGTGTATATCTGTTGTCCATTATACTATCTGTTAATCATTCCAGTGATCATTATCCCCATAGCTAAATCTCAGACCAGGCATCCTAAATTGGAAACAAAATACTGTATTGTGATACAAGAACAAATACTGTTATACAGTACAGTATTAAGAAACATTCAAAGTAAAGGTAACTGTGTACTGAAAGTAATGAAAATTTTTAAGTCCTTACTAACAGGCTTCCAAGTCAGTTCATAATTGGCAATATTACTTTTGTTGATGAATATACAGTGACCCTTTATGATTGTTAATCTATATATAAACTATTACATGAGATTCAGGAGATGTTTTCTGACAATATTTTGAAGGCATTGGGAAAGAAGTTTTTGATCATTCAGGTAGGTTCCAATTTTTTTTTTTTCATCAAGTGTTTACTCAGGTCAGATATACACATGGAATAACAAAGATACAGAAGGGCTTCACTTTACAGCATTTCACTAATGCAGTGGTTTCCATTTAGACCCATTATTCATTTACTCAGACTTCCTACAATAAATATATTCACCATTCACTACAAGCTAAAGGCAAAAATATTTTCTCAGTGGTGTGTGGATGACATTTCAGATGTTGACCACCCTTTTTTTTTTCTTCTTCTTTTTTATACTTTTAATTCCTCCCTTTGCCATTTTACTTACTTTCAGAACTCTCTATTTTATCCCTGACACATGAACCCCTTTGCCTAGTAACATTATTATTGTAAAAATATTTTTTTTCAGGATACAGTACATGACTTGGCTTCCATGAGATTGACTCCTGCTGAGTTAGCACGGAAACTTGCAGCTCGTCAGTCATCTAATAAAGTTATAGCAAGAGCGCAACTGTTGGAGCAAAGCCGACGGACAGGTTCCTGTAGTCCAAACTTGCCACCCTCTCTAGCTGCCAGACTGCAGGCTGCTAGACAACAAGTAGGTTTGATATACAAATAAAATACATAAGAATAAATCAGTTGCTTAGAATTCAGCAAAGTTAGTTAATTAATCATTTGCCTAATATAATTTGGTACAGGATTCATGGAAATGTTTCTTAAGGTGCTGATTTTTGTTTTCCAGAGTGTTGATTCATTACTGGCTCAATCCAATGCAACTTTAATGGCTTCACAGAGAGTACGACACCCAGACACACTTTCTACACCAGATTTAAAAACTCCCCAGCAACAAAGAAAACCTGGTTTGTATTTTTCTGTCTGTTAATGGGCCTGTTTTGCTCCTTCAAGGGACTTGATTCCTTAAATGGTGGCCTAATATAGATGCTCCATATATTTAAACCAACATGAAGTCTTGAAGATATTTAAAGAGTAATTTAATATGTTGTTTTAGGGTTTTCACACTTAAGTAAATAGGTAGGTAGACTTATTGTAACTACATTTTAAAAAACTTTTGTATGTACAGTAGAGCATTTTTGGTAAGGCTGTAAATTAAGGAACTGTATGTGTTGATTACATAATGCAGTGATTACATGGTATACATAGTTTTGTACAATACACAAATTAGAAACTTATTGACTAGTTATTAGATGAAACAAAAGATAGTGAATTTAGTTAAAAATACTACATACTGTTAGTTTAAAACTGGGGCTTACATAATAGTAAGTGAAATTCAGTGGACTAGATTAAAATTTGTGTTCCAGATCTGGTAAATGTGGAAATAGATAGTAATGATAACATTAATTAGTAACAGTATATAATTCTTCTTTCAATAACTGGCCATATCCCACCGAGGCAGGGTGACCTAAAAAGAAAAATGGAAGTTTCTCTATTTAAATTTAGTAATTTATACAGAAGGGGTTACTGTACTAGCCCCTTGCTCCTGGCATTTTAGTCTCCTCTTATGACACGCATGGCTTACAGAGGAAGAATTCTGTTCCATTTTCCCATGGAGCAGTGTACTGTATAAGTCTGCTTACTTAATTTGTGGATTAAGTTGATTTGTGGATTAATTAAAGGTGCCATACAATTTATCAGGAAATGAACCATTAAAATTTTTTTATAAATTAGCTTAGGGATGTATTATTATTAGATATACCTGATACAACTTCTACAAAGGATTCCACTCAGGAAAAACTGGTTAGAAAGACTTAAATTCAGGTAGGAAACATGGTGCTTTCAGTTTGAAGGATGGGTGGGGATGCTTGGCTTTGGTACATGATTTTAAGTGTGATGTTCATGTTTGTCTGCAAAGAGAACTAGGGAATGAGTAAGTGAAAGAGGATTGAGTTGACATGTGGATGAAAAGACGCATACAACAGTGTAAGAATAGTTATAACTGTTTCTGTCAAGGGACCAAACATTATAAAAACTTAGGCTGTTTTATCATATAGGGAATGAACGATGATAAGTATATTTTTCATTTTTGCATTGCCCTTCCTTGGTGGGAATTGGCTAATGTGTTAAAAGCTTCAGGTACAATTTTTTTTTTTTTTTCAACAAATCGGCCGTCTCCCACCGAGGCAGGGTGACCCAAAAAAGAAAGAAAATCCCCAAAAAGAAAATACTTTCATCATCATTCAACACTTTCACCACACTCACACATTATCACTATTTTTGCAGAGGTGCTCAGGATACAACAGTTTAGAAGCATACACATATAAAGATACACAACATATCCCTCCAAACTGCCAAATTTTTTTTATAGCCTGATATACTGCAGTTTAAAATTAGGTAAAGGTGTAGTATGAATTATACCTATAGTAGTAGATACAGTTAGAGCTAAGAAACACATTGAGGGAAATGAGTTATTTTACATGGTGTTTTAATAATGGACATAACTCAGTTTAGAAACATGTAATGGAGCTAAACAGTATTCTTTAAGAAACTTTTTTGATTTAATCTTCATTTCACAAGCTCTTGGTGATGTTGATAAGTCTTTGATAATTTGAACACCTTTATATGTTTAGTATTCCTAAGTAGGTTGAACTGTACACTAGGCATGTTAGCTGTATATTTATTGTGTTGTGTCCGTGAGCTTTTGCATGTCTTAAAATATAGTTTTAAATCCTTACAATTTTTTTTTAGGGTTTCCTAGATCAAATTCACAAGAGAATGTTGTGAACTTCTTTTTAATTTAGGAATTTAATTGATAGCATTTATTAAGGTTCTAATACCTGAATTTTTATTAGTACATCAGCCATTTGACACCAAGGACAGGAGACCCAAAGAAGGAAAACTCATTGGCCATCACTCACTTCCTGGGGCTGTCTTTTCAGCAGAGTTCAGACATCACAATTATAATGATCCACCAAACTGTAACATCTCCACTTATCTTGCAGATGCTTCATTTTACTTTGTAATTCTGTAAGGTTTAGTTACAGCTCTTGGGGGAGAGTATTTGTAGATTGAGGAATTGTATGTATAGCATTAATGGGAAGTATAGATAGATTACAGGAGTGTTATGTATAGAGTTATTTGGATGTAGGGATAGCGAGTCAGATGTAAAGAATTAATTGAATGTTTGTATAGATTAGGGAGTAGTGTGTATAGGGTTATTGGGAGATATGGATAGAATGGTGTGTAGCATATATAGAGATAGTGGGAGGCAAGAGGCGTGGAGTTAAAAGATAAAGAATCACACACAAAGTGGGAGTTGTCACAGCTGCTCTTTGCTGATGACACTGTGCTCTTGGGAGATTCTGAAGAGAAGTTGCAGAGATTGGTGGATGAATTTGGTAGGGTGTGCAAAAGAAGAAAATTAAAGGTGAATACAGGAAAGAGTAAGGTTATGAGGATAACAAAAAGATTAGGTGATGAAAGATTGGATATCAGATTGGAGGGAGAGAGTATGGAGGAGGTGAACGTATTCAGATATTTGGGAGTGGACGTGTCAGCGGATGGGTCTATGAAAGATGAGGTGAATCATAGAATTGATGAGGGAAAAAGAGTGAGTGGTGCACTTAGGAGTCTGTGGAGACAAAGAACTTTGTCCTTGGAGGCAAAGAGGGGAATGTATGAGAGTATAGTTTTACCAACGCTCTTATATGGGTGTGAAGCGTGGGTGATGAATGTTGCAGCGAGGAGAAGGCTGGAGGCAGTGGAGATGTCATGTCTGAGGGCAATGTGTGGTGTGAATATAATGCAGAGAATTCGTAGTTTGGAAGTTAAGAGGAGGTGCAGGATTACCAAAACTGTTGTCCAGAGGGCTGAGGAAGGGTTGTTGAGGTGGTTCGGACATGTAGAGAGAATGGAGCGAAACAGAATGACTTCAAGAGTGTATCAGTCTGTAGTGGAAGGAAGGCGGGGTAGGGGTCGGCCTAGGAAAGGTTGGAGGGAGGGGGTAAAGGAGGTTTTGTGTGCGAGGGGCTTGGACTTCCAGCAGGCATGCGTGAGTGTTTGATAGGAGTGAATGGAGACAAATGGTTTTTAATACTTGACGTGCTGTTGGAGTGTGAGCAAAGTAACATTTATGAAGGGATTCAGGGAAACCGGCAGGCCGGACTTGAGTCCTGGAGATGGGAAGTACAGTGCCTGCACTCTGAAGGAGGGGTGTTAATGTTGCAGTTTAAAAACTGTAGTGTAAAGCACCCTTCTGGCAAGACAGTGATGGAGTGAATGATGGTGAAAGTTTTTCTTTTTCAGGCCACCCTGCCTTGGTGGGAATTGGCCAGTGTGATAAAAAAAAAAATTAGGGAATATTAAAGAATTAGTAAAGATGGATAAACTGCAGATACGCCTGGAAAATCTACTGTTATTTGACTTATGTTTGGACTATATTTTCAGATAGAGAGGAGGATATAAGGTTCAGTGAAGAAGATGCAAAACAAAATAATGGCTCCATGAAAACATCTCTGCATGAAGATGTTGACAGTTCTAAAAGCAATGAGATCAGAACCTCAGCAGTAGACACTAAAGATGAAAGATATTTGACACAGAATCGAGAGGATAGTGCAAATGCTTCCATTAGTACTTTGAAGGAGTTAAAACAAAAGGAATTCCCAGAAGAAAGACCAAAGCATAAGACAACACCATCAAGGTCAGCCAAGGATGTACATAAGCAATTTGACACTATTCAAGGAGCAGCAACAAGAACCAGCCTAGACCATACAATAACAGTTTGTATACATCTTGGTTCATTATTATTATTATTATTATTATTATATTTTTATTACAATATTAAATATTTTAAAATTCTATATTACATTTTATTTATAGTGTAGCACTGTATATGCATTTTTTTTCAACGCACTGGCCATCTCCCACCGAGGCAGGGTGACCCAATAAAGAAAGGAACACTTTCACCACCATTTACACATAGTCACTATTTTTGCAGAGGTGCGCAGATACGATAGTTCAGATGTCACTGCATCTACCTTTAGGAATCTATACTGAATAACGATGGAACAAGCAAACCCACATGGAGACAATAACAGAAAAAGATGATTACTGTTTATTTTTTTATCTCAGATTGAGGTGCTTATTAGCAGACTGTATTCCCTTGTGAAATTGTAGTATGCTTATTATATTTTGTGTTTCATATAAAAGGATATTAAGAGTAGGGTGTCTGCTTAAGCTGCAGTGCTTCATTGTAAGCACCTATTTTTATTTTTCTATATGAAAAGAGTAGTTTTATGCATAATTATTTCTTAATGGGGATTACCTTTGTGATGGTTAAAGGCTCTTGATTCAGGGGATTTAAGTTGCCCTCTACATATCAAGCTTGATTATTCTTCTCCCTCTCCTATTCCCAATAGCTGTGTGGTCCTTACGAGTTTATTGCTTCCTCATGCATGTATCAGTATGCAATATTATCAATGCATACCATCAGGTACATAATAAGAGGTTTTGCAGATGGTGGTGAACACCTGCCGAGAGCTGTGGTTGCAGCTAGAAGAGGAAAGACTCACTAGGGAAAGGCTTCAGCAGCAGCTGCAACAGCAAGGCAATGTTATAACTACTCTGACTGCTGTAAGAAATGTCTTACTTTTGTTAATTTACTGGGAAATGTATCTTCTCTATTTGGTTATCTAGGGATATCTAGCACTACATCAACCACTGGCCTTCTTGAGATGAAACATAACTACTACTTGAGAAGTTCTGTATAATAAATCTAAATTTGTCTTCAGGGAGAAAGACATAATATAGAGACAGGAAGGAGTAGAACACTAAACGTTGAATATACATTTAGTCTATTTTTCTAATGAAAGGTAAACTTTTTCAGGAGTTGCTGCAAATCCAGGACCAACAAGAGGCAATCTTGCGGGAAGTGAGTGATGCTCGTGCATCTGGACTTTGGGATATTGAAGGTGATTTAATTGGTGGCAGTATTGGAAGTACAGAAGGAGGAGGGGATAACTTAGTAAATAGCGAGACAGCTAGTGGCAGGTTAACTGGGGGTCGACTTAGCCCTCAAACAATGACTGGCCGTCACCCTCAAAGATCTATACTTAGAGCAACTCGTACCATTCCTTCACCTCATATACGACAAGCCACTTCATATCAAATGTTCCAACAGGCAACACGAACATACCAACTAGATTCTCATCTGCCATTGTCTCATCAGCTTCCGCCTTCACCTCGTCCTCATCAGCCTTCATCGAGGTCGCATTCACAGTCGCCACAGTCTCACCAGCCGTCTTCATGTCCATCTGACATATCTTTATCACAAGCTAGTCATATAGCTGGGAGGTTAGAAACACGTAGCCACAGCAGCTATAGAAGCTCTGTTTCTCGGCAGATTAGAAATGCATTGATAAGTGACCAGATTGCATCAAATTTATCTGAGGGAAAAACACACCCCAGTCAGTTGAATTTTGCTAAGTTGCCACATGAGAGCTCATCAGATATGAAAGCTTCAGATAAGGATAGGCAGACCATAGGGGACAAGCAAGCTCTTGCAGCTGACAACAAAGAGAATACTCTCCTGTCAGTGGGAGAAGATAGGGTTATGGACTCAAAAACTACAGAGCTGCTAGAAAAGAAGAATTAATAAGATGAACATTTGTATTCTTAGATAAATACGGATGTTGTATGTTAGCATAAGTGGCCTCGACCAAAGTGTTACTATCTCCAAATTTCTGGAGTCCCTTGATAAGTACTGTGTGACTTAAGCTCATTTGGGACCATGTTTTTATAACTAGGCTAAGACTGGTATTTTGAAGTAATGAGTTGATTTAACTGTTTAGTAAAATGTGGTGTCTTAGATATTTAAATAGGAAATGTACATTAACATTTTCTGATAAATGGCTTAATATTTGCAAATTTTTTGAAGGGCTTTATTGACTTTAATTTTAATATTTCTTTCAGCATTGAATGGATTTTTTTGTTTTCATACTGTTCCATCCTTCTAGGGAACATAAAATGGAGCTATTTCAAACACAATTTAGAGTACAGCATTTATAGATAACATTACAAATTTGTTTCACTCATAAGTAGTATGACATTGACCGAAGTATTTACGTATACAGTATTTTGTAGTAGAAAAATTTGTGCTCATGATTACCATTTTTTTTTTTTTATATTTCTGCATTTATTCAGCAAAAATTTCGTATCTTATTAATTTACATTTCATTTGCCCAAAATGTGACCGCTTCTCCTTTGTTTATACCAACTAATAGTTTCTGTTCTTTATCCATGTTTTTATAATCTATGCTTTAATTTGCAGTTGTCATTACTACTTCATTGTTCTCACTTCAAGGAGCATTCAGCCAAATTTCTCAAAATTTTTATTTTTTCTTTAATATTTCTTCAACAATATTTTCAACATTACACTGTACTGTAAAATTTGTTTCCAAACATGAATAAGAATTAAACAATATTTTTTGAGGTGCTTTCCCCGCTAATGGATATCAACTGTATTTTGGTCTGTTATATGTTATAAACAGTAAGCACTGAACAGCTAAATCTCACATAGATAAGAAATCAAAAACTGTGTACAAAGGATCTGTATAAATTTTGGATTCTGAGACCTGGATCATTTACTGAAGAGGGCCTCTTGAGTCGAAAATGCACAGTTGTTTTCTACTCCATGTTAGATTTTCAGTCTATGTGAGATTTGCATGCTCCTTTTTGGTTTGTTTATATTGCCAGATTTATTAAGTGATTTTTGATCAGGCTTGGTCTGAGACTGGGCTGTGACGAAGATGTTCCCTGGAACTCTTTTAACAAACATCAGAAATATATACTGTACTTAAGAGGAAACAAGATAAATAACCTATAGAGCAGATATGTTCATACATTTACAAGTAGTATACTGACCATTTATTAATACAAAATGTTGTGAACATTGTATTACACATTCATAATTTTGGAATTGTGTACTTGCCTTGGCAGCTTGGCTATCTCGGAACATTCAAGTTATATACATGATGTTTATGTTTACCTCCTGCATGTGGGATTATATGTGGTGAATTTTTATGGTAATCGTACATTTACAAGTAAAGTACATTTACTGGAACAGAATGTTTTGAATATTGCATATACTATAAGCATGGAATGATCCACGTGGGCTTAGCAGTTTCTGCAAATAAAATAATATTGTTGATACCGTACACACAGTCACAGTAATTTTAGTGGCTGGCCTGTAATCTTCAGTGAGCTAATGACCAGCATGTTGGGATGAACTCCAATCCATTACTAATAAGAAATGTTTATGGACTTCTCACTTTTCTGTATCCCTTTCTTATTATGGCTTCCAAGAGGATTATGGCATTTATGATACCACAGTCAGAAAAAAGCAAAAATGTGATAATTTAGAAAATAGCTGTGATATGAGAGTCTTGCATGTTGTTGTCTGGGGCTAAGGACCACACACTAGCTGGGTTAGTGACTGGCTTTCATTTCCACCCCAGTTCCCACTAAAAAAAATATATGCAGGGATTACTATACACTGTATATGGATCTCATCTTGAAAATGCAGTATTACCCAGAATTAGTCTCGTATACATGATCTGTGTTTGAGTATACAGTATGCAATATTTCAAATACAGTATTCAGTATTTATAATAAATACAGTAAGTCAATGCTGTACATCAATGCAATTGTAATAAAGGCTGGGAGTATATTTTATAAGTATACAATAAAGTGGGGGTAAGCTGCATCACAAGTGCATTGGCTTGGTCTACCCCCACATTAAGTGTGCACAGCAGTATTTATATCACTTCTGAAAGTTTTAAATCTTAGGAAAGTAATACAAGTAGAGCCTCTATGCAAAAGCATGAATTTTATATATAACCTGTCTTCAATATAATTCTAAAGATGACTATATTTGTATTTCCGAAAAACCAAACAGTACATGTATATGCTTTCCAATATGTAGATTATTTTATTCTAATTGTTTACTTTGAAGTAAAAACTATACAATTTTTCCTTGTAACTTGTGTGCGATATTAGCATAATATCGTCCAATTTAAAGTATGGTATATGCTGCACTGTCAAATGAAATTATTTGACAGTACAGCATATGCTCTACTGTCAGGCGAAATATTTATAAACCTGGCATGGAAAATTTTAAATGGGCTATTCATCCAAGAGATTCCCAAATTTTATAGATAAATAAAATAATGCAATCTCTCTTCTGTCATGTTATGTTATGCACCATTTAGCTCAAGGCCTATTTCAGTTTTATTTTTGTAACAATCTCTACAGATTTTGTGAACATCAGGTTAGTCACTGAATGTTCTTTTGTAGCAAATCAAGGAGTTGAAGAGGCAGAGGTTATGATAGTGCCAAGCGTTATCACATAGGATTCTTAGTATATGTCAGTGCCTCTAAAAAATGATCCACCGAAAAAACATGTGATAGTGATGAAACATACAATTGTTGTATTTTAGCCTTATTGGGCACTTACTTAGCATAGCTCACAATACATATTCATTATTAATTGCAGTTCCAAGTATTGAATTGACAGTCTGACAACTGTGAGCATGTCAGTTCTGTACTCTGCCAACCTCACAATCATCAGGCCATCAGTATCAGGCTCATCACTCCATTGATTTGTTGCATTCATTTATTATGAATTTTTACTACAGTATCCATTATATTTAATACAGTAATTCTGAAATATGGCATATTGTATTGAACCTTAAAATTATTAAAATACACTAGTGCATATTTGCTTGGTACGTGTCGATAATATGAACACTTTTTATAGGGCTAACCTTATTTGTATTGGAAAAAAAATTTCCTATTTGTGTTGCATAATTTTTAGGATGCTTTAAAGGCAAGTATTTTTTTTTTTTTTTTTTTTTTTTTTTTTTTTTTTTTTTTTTTTATGGTACAGCAATCATTCCTGTTGAATACCAGACTACCAGGTAACTACTGCAGGTCTAAGTTACTTTAAACAACACCTGCTTGTTTCTTCCTGGAAACCACATTTTTTCAAGTGAAATATAATAATTGTCCAATAAGAATATTTATATAAACATTAAATTTCTTCAACATTGGGAAATAAAAATATTTCATTAAGTAGTTTTTTCTGAAATGTTAATTAATATATCAAACTTGTGTTAGTTTCTATACCTTTGTAAGTAATGAATAGGCATCTAGTTTCTTTGAAGATTTATTCTCATCTACTTTGATTAGGGGAGTCCTAATAAAACTATACTTGTTACTTGACATGTTTTCTTATTTTTTATTAATGTGCCAATATTTTTTTTATTTTGATAGGCTTATTGTTGGATAATTTTTGGTATGAAAAATACTTTTTTAGTATTCTTTAGATAACAAAAGCTTGTAAAAAATGCTGCCTCTAATGCTTGGTTTGATACTTAACAATTTAGCATTATTGGTATTGCTGTCCTTTAGTGTACATGACTCAAGAGACTCTATGACCGCGGGTTCAATCCCGGCCGGGGGTATGGTTTCTTTAGTGTACGTACATGTTTTGAGCATTGCAGGCACTATATTTCTTGTGCTGGTTTTCCTGTTTATTACCAAGTCATTTTTAATATGCAGGCTAGCTCACGTTGAACCTTTTCACACATCTTGAATACGGGCATTTATCTATTGTCAATATCTTCGTGAAATTTTATCTTGCATGTGTGAATCAGTAACCAGCTATGTAAAGTGCAATACAGTGCAGTATACGAATTATTTGGTAACCAATATCTTGGAATTTTTTTCGACTCACTGGCTTGAAGGATAATTTTTTAAGTATTTGTGAAAACCACCAAGAAAGTAGCTACAGTAGTGATGTTTACACATGGCAAACGTAAATTCTTTGAACTTCTTTGCTTTCCACAAATATATTTGAATATTCATAAATTCTGAATGAATCTGGAAGTGTATAGTTCAGGATGTTTAGTAACACCTCTCTCTGACCTTCCTCTGGCTTTCTCCTTGCTGTTTTTCATCTGACCTGACATCTAGCTTTCTCTTCTTTCTAACAAATGACTTTCTCATTGCCCAGAATGGATTGGTATTTCATTGTGGGTTAGTTGAGTAGTTGTCATGTCTGCAGTTCAGTAAGACACACAAGTTATAGGAATCTGACATTTAGAATATATGCAGGGAATTCACTGATCATTTTTATTAAATTGAGTGTTGATTTAGGATTTTGTCTAGTTATTTGATAGATAATGAGTAGCTCAGTAAGACAGAGTTTTCTGGAATCTGTGAGAATCCTCAAGAATAATATGCCAATTTTCAGCATGGCAAAGGTTGATGCGAGTCATTGAATATTTTATTGCATGTTTTGAGTGAGTGGAAATTATACGATTTGTGTCATCTTTTAGTAATACTGATTAGATAAGTTATTAGTACTAATTGTTTTGAATTTGTATACATGAGGCATTTTGCAGCAGAAAAGAAAAAGTGTCAAATTCAAATGATGGAGAAAAGCATAGGTGTGGGGGAAGATCAGCTCTATGAAGCTCAAATTACTATACTTTATTTTGGGGGTTCTAATTTGTAAATGCAGAAGACAATGTCTACTCATTCCCACAAACAAACAAAACATTAAGGAATGAACTCGTTCACTAGATTTTGGTTGTGGTGACACTTATTCTGTGTTGCTGCACAGTGCCTCATGTGTTCAGAAGTATTTAGTTTCACATGTATAGGTTGCTAGTAACCAGGTACAAGTAATTATATGGTCTGATAGCTTGGTCAGCCACTACAGCTTCATTGTCAAAAGGGACTTAATGTATAACTACAGTACTGTATTTTAAAATATTAGGAAAGGTATTTGCCAAATCATAAAATATAGGGGAAAGGATTGGATGGGAAATCTGCTCAAGGATAATTATTTATATAAATGGGATTAGGTCAGGGGTTTCAAATAGAGTTAGAGCTAAAGAAGGAGTAGCAATAATGTTGAAGGATAAGCTATGGCAGGAAAAGAGGGACTATAAATGTATTAATTCAAGGATTATGTGGAGTAAAATAAAGATTTGATGTGAAAAGTGGGTTATAGTAAGCGTGTATGCACC